TTTAGGGTCGCGCCGCGCTGCTGAAAATGCTACAGATCTGGGTAACACCATGCCATTTCGTCGGTGGCTGACTGTGGGGGGCCGTCGCTACTAAGTTGGGGCGATAGGTACTACAAAGGCGAAGAGAATAAAGTGAAACGAAAAACGACAGCGTCACCGGCGGAGCAAGAAAACAGAAAGAAAGTGCAGAGATCTGGACTAACGCGATTTCTGGCGATCGTCCAAGACGGTGTCACCACGATCCTCGTACAGAAGAGATGAGAGTAGAGAGGAGGGGGATAAGCGGCGGCTGCCGGGGCTAGTGAGAGAGAGAAGACGAAATAGAGGGGAAGACGTCGTGGCTGTTGAGGTGGTGGGGGCGGCGTTGAGAGAATAGAGGTGAGAGTGGAGGGAAAGAATGGTTCAAATGATTTTAGGGTTTGGCTGGATTTAAATGATTTTATTGTATATAAATATAAAAATAAAAATTAAAAATTATTTTTAAATTATAAATTAAAACCTGATTTTTGAAATATTAAACTTGTGATTAGATTTTTGAAATTGAAAATTTAATTCCAGGTGTGGATGTAATTTCCTCTTAAAACAAAAATAAAAAAAATTGGGCCATTGGGTTGAGCCCAAAAGTTCAGTACATGCCTGTGCATGTAATAGACTTCATTGGGCTCTGCCCCGAACATAGCACATTTCTTTTCCCAACTAACATAATTTTCTCAACTTCAAAGCTTGCTATCTTCATTCACAATCCAAACTTACTTCTAAATACGCTTGTGCTACTTTCAAATAACACATCGTGTTACTTAGTGTGTTACTCGAAAGTAACATACCGTGTTATCACTACTTTCAACATCCCAATCAAATCTATCACTGTCAAACCACCACTGATTTGTGATTCAGATCTACATGTAGCCACCATCACCACCATTTATCTGCCACCATAGCTCCAAAAACACCATCACAGCACCCTACCACTATCATCCTATAAAGTAGCCACAAAATCACAGAAAAACGATATAAAGCCTATGTTCTTGTTTATTAATAATTTTATTTTTCTATTTAATCAAAGTCAAACATTAATTTCAATCAAATTCATAATTACTACCCATTTAATATCCATAAATATTGCCGGGCTCACTACTAGTCCTCCTAAAAATTTACTAATAATTTTAGACTAACTGAGGTAAAATAGAATCACCACTACATAATTTAGGCTTTGGAAACATTCTTCTACACTTCAATACAAGGAAGCGTTTTATTAAAGCACCTCTTCAATTCAAGAAACCTTATAAATAGGGCTGAATTTGAAAAAAAAATATGGTGCAGCATAGATGACGAGGCAAATCTGGTGGCCCTCAATCCAGGCTGGCGTCTTTATGTCAATAGCAATATGGCCATTGATGGTGGTTATGGTGATCGTCGGCGAAGTAATGGAGTTCGGTAGTGGAAGATGGAGGAAAGAAATTTAACTTTGATGTTTTGTATTTTGTCAAAAGTAGTAATCTTGCACTAACGACATTTGTAGTTGATTCCCACGTTATCACGAAAGTCATGAGTTTCAGAGTCCCAGAAACTTTCTAAAAATAGGTGCAAACAGAATTCTTTACTAATAATCATCTAAGACAAAAAAAACCAGTTTTGCAAATATATGATATATCCTATCCGACTCTTTGGTTCTATACATAGACACACCAACAGTACAGCAAGAAAGATGTATGGACTACTTATATGCATGATTCCATACTGGGAAACATCTGATATGAGCAGTAGCAAACTGAAGCTATTCCACTATCAATAAATTGTTCTCCGTCAACCCCTCGCCAACAGTCGGAAAATCAGGTGATAGTTGCCATTCTCCATCTACTAGGAACTTGATTTCATACCTTAAAATCAACAAAAATAAATGCATCAGTCTTTAATATTACATTTAAATTAATAAATGTGTTTAAAACCTCTTCAGATGAGCTATCTAAGCTAAGGTAGTTTTTCGAAAATTTATCCAAAATCACAACCTGAATTTTTCAGTCCACCAGCCTCTTCTATTAGTCCACCAGATTTACTCAATTTTATTCCCCTGGGTGGGTCTTGTACTCAACATCCAATATCTAGATTTACATCTTACCTTCATACCGCAAGGCCTTTGTCTATATAGCAATTTCTAGATCTCTGCAGGAGGCTCTAATGATTCGAAAGTGGAAGGTTGCAGCTTTGGAAGAAATGAGGGCACTTGAAAAAAAAAAATTGAACATGACGTTTAGTGCATCTACGTGAAGGAAAAGTAGATAGACATACAAGGCTTCTAGTTATGGGTTAGACATATATGGTAGACCATCAGGAAACCTAGAGGCAAAGGTGAATTCAGTTCGGGTTTTGATTTCACTTGCAACAAAATATGGTTGGCCACTTCATCAACTCGACATTATAACTGCTTTCCTCTTGGATGAAGAGATTTTATATGCAATTATCTCCGGGTTTTGAAGAATCTTACGGAGAAGAGAAGGTTCGCAAACATGAGAAATCCTTATGAGCTTAAACAGTCACCTAGAGCTGGGTTTGATCTGTTCTCCAAGACTACAATATGTTTTCATTATACTCAAATCCAAGTAGATGATACAATATTTTTTAACAAAATACTGCTGATAGGTTGACAGTTCTAATTGACTTTAGATATAATTTTGACAGGAAATGATGAAAGTAAGGTTGAAGAGCACAAACTCGTGCTTGCCAAGGAGTTCGAATATTAAAAAACCTTGGCCCTTTGTGAAGTATTTTCTTGGCAATATATACTCTTGATTTATTGAAGGAGGTTGGCAAGCTTGGATGTAAACCATGTTATATTCCAATTTAAGTTAATCACAGACTTGGCGCCGATGAAGAAGGAAAAAATGTTGACAAAGGGCGTTATCATTCTTTGGTAAGCTAATATATTTGTGTCATACAATACTAGATATTGCCTTCTCCGCAAGTGTCGTTAGCCTGCATATGCATTCACCAAGCGGAAAAACACATGGAAGTCGTGCACCAGATTCTAAGATATCTGAAGAAAAATCCAGGATTATGAGTTTATTGCTCAAGAAAAAGGGAACATGAAGGTCAGATGCTGATTCGGCAGGTTTGGTTAGTGACAGATGATGTTGATCTCGATATTGCACGTTTATTGGAGGCAACCATGTAACTTGGAGGAGTAGAAACAGGCCTTTGTAGCTAGAAGCAGTGTTGAAACTGAATTTAAAGCAGTTGCTCAAGGCTAGAGGTGTCAAGACGGACGGGCTGGCCAAACCCGTGAAAACCGGCCCGGATCGACCCGGGATCGCAGGTCGACTAGTGACCCGAGCGGGTGGTTCACGGGTTAAAGAGGTGTGACCCGCGGGTTTCGTGGGTTGCACCTTCACGGGCCACGATTAACCCGCTAGCCCGTGAAAAAAAATTTGAGATTCGTAGCATAATAACTCTAGTACAACTTCTAAAGGCAAATCTTCTTTTTTCTCCATAATAGCTAAGAAACGTAATGTTCTTGGTTCTTCATCTACAACTTCAACTGCAAAT